GAGTGAATGGCCACAGGGTGATTCTCCAGAGGAAATGCCTTCGAGTCGGCCCTGCAGTCATTTCAGTGGCTTTGGCTATTATTATAGCATCTGCAGTTGATACTAGTCTCTCTTTTCTGTTGGTTATCTTCTCATTTTATTCTAGTCTATAATTATGTGTGGCGCGAGTGGCATTTATTGATTCTGCTGTAAAGATGTAGGCTCGCTGAAGCATTCTTCCAGGCGTGCCCTTATAATAATGAGCTCTCACACATCTATATTAGCGTCTGTCTTCAAAGTAATCCCCTTGGCAAGCTGTCTCATTCAGTGGTGCAGACTTTCACACGGTGTTTTAGAGCTCCTCTTTTGCAATTGCCTTCAGAAACACTTGTAGTCACCCGAGAAACTGAGTCTCATTGCTTTGGTCCAAACCAACCATTATCAGCAAAAACAGTGTACTTAATTACCTGTTCAGATTCTTGGACTTGACTCTGAGTAACAAACTCATGGCTAAAAATTAAATCTCCCTGCAAGCAATTTTGATTCCAAACCAGCAGGACCTTTAAAAATCTGAAGGGGCAGACCCTTAAGAAAGAAAGAAAAAGAAAAAAAGTCAGTGCCCTTACGGCTGGGGCCAGAAAGTCCTTCTGCTGTGGCAGCGGGGTTTACTACGTTAGGGAAGGGGTCAGTCCCTGGGTCAGAGAGGATGCCAGCCCAACAGGCTCTATTCCACCCTGCTCATTGCCTCAGAAAACTGCTCTGTGCCGCCAAAGGAGCTCTACCCCATGTTGCCCCGGAGATGTGGCACTGATCAGGAAGCCAACCTCTACCCAGTGGCTGCATGGTGGGCTGTCCACCCTGAGCTTGTCCTGGCTGACACACGGTGTACTGGAACACACAGTGCTGTTCCAGTAGCTTTTCACCACCCAGCCCGTCACACAGTGTCTCCTGGACCATGTGTCAGTGGCTGGGATTCACCTGGCCTCCGAAACAGAAGATTTTCCAAGTCAGATGGGGATGCTGTTAATCAACACATTTCACTGAAGTGTTGAAGAGAGAGATGTACCTTTCTTCTGGTTTTGAGATGATTTTGATTTTAAAATTGAAGCCTTGGGGTAGAAAGAGGAGTTCTTGCAGACCGAGGACTCTGCTTCCCTACGATCCTTGCCACGGGTAATTATTACATAGCTCTAGGGGTTAGCATGTGAGCACAGCCCGGAGTCATAATCTTAAGGGATAATGGTTATCAGTGTTCACCACGAGTTCTTGTACAGGTTAGCCTGCCAGCATCACCTACACCAGCGCTAATCTCTCTGTGGCTGGAGCGCTCTTGCCTAGTGGTCCCCGTTGGTTTCTTGGAACAACTTAATGAAAAATGCAGGAAGTCTCCTTTCAAAGCCTGTTCTTCTTGGAAAGGTTTCTGGACAGGAAAAAGTTGGGAGGGAGCAAAGGCTTGAAGGAGGGACCTGCCACCTAGTGGTGCAAGATCTAAAACACACTCTCGACTGGAAGGAAGTCCAACAAAAACAAGCCACTCTGAAGAATGCCAATAGAAAATGGAGGGATGGAAAGGCAGAAAACTGAGGGGCAGAGCCTCGTGATTTGACAAAGAGTGATTGAGAACGAATAGGGGCTGCCCAAGATCAGAGTGTGCGAGGTTCTGTGAAGGCTTGCTGCTTAGGAGGAAGAGCGACGGAACTTGTGACTTGAGGCCACACTATAGCATTCCCTAGCGAGGTTCCCTGCATGGGAGAAACAAAAGTACCCACCCAAGGGCCTCATAAGTCTTGGATCCAGTCCTTACCCCATCCCAAAATCTAGGAGCAGCAGAAATTAGACATTAAGCAAGGTCTAAGAGTAACTGGCCAGCCCAGACGTGTTCCCAGAGGGGCATCTAGGGAACAATCTGTCTTTTAACCTTTGGCTAGAGAAGCCTTGTCAAACAACCCTTTCTGGGGAAAGCTGATGAATCTGAACCATGTGAAGAGTGTAGAGATAGAATTGAAAAGACCGTAGGTCCCTTCGGGTCTGGCCTGAATTAAAAAATGCTCTTGTCCCAGTACACACACCAATATAGAGCCTCCTTAACAGTAGCCCTGCAATTGGATGGATACAAAAGTAGACGTGTCATGTGATGGCCAGCAAGCTATCTCTTCATCCACACTCACTTGCATTAAATCAAGAAAATAGATCTCTAGACCCTCTGTCTCCCATAAATTGTACTAATGTTCAGATTCTTTATTGTTTCTTAGTCAGAACAGGGCTTGATGACCCCTTTTTCACAACCCATATTGTGAATAAGAACAAGCTTCAAACAAGTTAAAGGTGCACATAAAACACAACCTGAATCCTGTCTGCCTGAAACTTGCCTGGGGAATTCTAATTTTTTTTTCATGTGAAAATATTTAGATGTGTGCTGAAAGTTGTATGTTTTTATCTCTAAGCCAGAGATAGTGACGCACACAGTCCTAGCCCTTGTAAGACTGAAGCAGAAGAATTGCCAGGAATTCAAGGCCAGCACAGGATACAGCACCAGGACAGCCAGAGCCATCAAGACACTATCTCAAAGGGGGAGGGGGAGAGTAAAACAAACTGTAGGCTTAGACCATCAGCCCCCAATATAAAAATTTCCTTTGTGAGTAAGAGAGGTTTTGGGTTTTGTGTGTGTATCTGTCTCATCAAGGGTGTTGAACACAATTTAAACACAATCCTGCATACTCTGGACTTCTGTAGTGTTTATCTGAAGTTTGTCCTGCTTGCTTCTGGACAGGAAAGCCAGCCATTGCCTTCTAGTGGTCTGTCCAGATGTCCTATTCACTAACCTGTTCCCTGCTCTCGTTGAAATAGTGACTTTTGTAAGACAGGGAAAAGCAGTCCTCATAGTCACACCGCTGCTTGTGTCTTTGTTCATGTGCATGAGCTGTCTGTGTCCATAGGGTGTGCATTTTGGTCTTGTATAGTGGATGTAGGTATTTCAAGTGGCTATTATCTGAGACTTGTTCACACTCTGCAGGGAACTGTCCCTTCCATACCGTATTCTGTCTTGTGGACACACCACAAGTCCTTTAAACAGTACTCTGGTTACCTCTGCTGTTGTCATTGAAGCTCTTGAAGAACCAGAAGGGGAAACTATTTCCTTCTTATCAAAAGAATGTAGCCTCCCTCTGGGTGGAGACCAGCCCTGGTCCCCCAGGATTAACCCACGTGGGTCAGTCACTTTCAGTCCTGCTGAGGAAATGGGAGGGGTGATTGTTCTTTTAATGAGACATTGCACTTTTTCTTCCCCGTATTCAGGGGAAGTCAAGCTGCAGTTGTGAAGTCAGCATAACTTTTTCTTTGGGCAGGGTATACTTTCCCAGATACTCTGGTCTTTCTTATTCTTTTTTCTTTTCTTTTCTTTTTTTTTGTTTTTGTTTTTGGTGGTGGTGGTGCTGATGATAGATAGGGATGTTTTTTTGTTTATTTGCTGTGGCTGTTCCTCCAACTCACAGTGGCTTACGACTACTTTCTTCCCCTTCTCCATCTTACTCTTCCAGGGATCTACACGGATGTACACCTTGCTTCTCTGGGTTTTTTTTTTTTTTCTTTTAGACACTAATAAAATTGTCCTCAAGGTTTCTTCTGAGCCTAGTCCTAAGTTCTTTTATTAATAAGGCTAAGAACCCAGAGGAAAGACCCTGTAGAATCAGTTCTTGCCTTACACCTGAGAGTCCTAGGGGCCAAACTCCAGTGGCCAGGTTTGCCGTCAACTGCCTTTTCCCACTGAGCCATCTCATCAGTCCCAACAGTAAAACTATACTTTTTAAATGAGAATATTTATAGAAATGTGTTTGCTCTTCTTCCCACTGACAAATCATTTGAAAGCTATTAGAGCCCCTACTTAATACTAAACCAATAAAACCAATGATAATTTTAAGAATTCTTAATTGCAACTTGCTAGCAAAGATATTTTTTAAATTTTTTATTTATTTGTTATGTATATGGTGTTCTGTTTCTATATAGGCCAGAAGAGGGCGCCAGATCTCATTACAGATGGGTGTGAGCCGCCATGTGGTTGCTGGGAATTGAACTTAGGACCTCTAGAAGAATAGCTAGTGTTCTTAACCACTGAGCCATCCCTCCAGCCCTAGCAAAGATATCTTATATAACTTGTATAATCCACCAGCCAAGCGCTAATATTTAAATAAAAGAAGCTGCATAGTGTTGCAAGCACTCATCAGTTTTACTTCATCAGCTCAGGGAGGCATACTGGTTCCATTTATTCGGCTTTCTTCAGTGACCTCTCTCACTGCGGTTTAGGATGTCAGAGGACGTCTTGGTGCTTCACACATTAGCGCTGTCAAAACTCTGAAACTCAAGCTTAAATTATGATTAAAATCTTCTAGACTGTGATTACTTATTTCATGGAGATGTTGGTTTTTCCTCAGTCAATTCTGAAACTTTTATACAGAAAAGAAAATGTTCACCTTTACATTTTCAAGGTGCATTCAAAGATACTTTGAAGTATTTCGCTGTGCCTACTTACATGCTCCTGGTTTGGGGTTTGAGTTTCTTAAATGCAGGGTCATGAGATTAATAATAGATTAAACGTTAATGCAGATCCTAATTGTTTCAAGTAAAGTACATAATTCATTTGTTAATGTAAAGAGCCAGCCACAACACAAATCCCATATACATTTGTGATTAGTTTCCTTTCTGAATAGCATAATATGATATACTCAGAAATAATCTTTTGCATATTTATAAAGGTTGTCAAACTATGTAAATATTTTATTGTTCACATTTTTATATTTCATACAGTCATTTGTATTGTTACTACATATAAAGAGTTCTCAGTTGGCCAAAGTAAAATCATATTTTAGTAACCTCATTAATACTTAGAATATTTTTTAAAAGCATGATAGTCATGAAATCAATTATTTGAATTCATTGAAGATAATCATTCATCATTAGTTAGAAGTAAATGGATAGGCCTGTCTGTATAAGCGATCCAACTTTGCTTTATTTTTTTTCCCCTTTAGGCAGAACTCGCAGTTTGGAGATGAAAAGACATTTAATGACTCCTCACTGCTGGAGAATCTCCAGAATAACCACGTAAGTGTCGTCAGAACGTGATCTGTTCCCCCGTAGGTGAGCCCTCGCGTCTTTCTCAGCTGTCCTCCATCCTTCTGTTTTTTTGTTTTTACTTGCATGATCTTTTTTTTAGATTTCTTTTACTTTATGTGTACCAGTGTTCTAAATGTCTCCTGTGTCCAGATGCTTGTGTCTTTCCAAAGATTTGAAGTTTCCCGCTGTGATTTTATTGAGCCTATTTTGTACGACCCCTAAATAGGAAGGGGAGATAGGATATAGTTAGAGTAAACAGAATTCAAATATTATTAAAGCTAGAGGAAAATCAGAAAGTCTACAGAGGACGGAGTGGGGAGAAAAACAAAAGTCAGGAAGAGCGGGCTGTAGGTCTGAGAATAGAACACAGTAGAGTGGTGCGGAAGCGGGGTCTAACCTAGTTGAGCAATACAGCATATGTAGATGCCAGTGGGATTCTTTCCAAAAAAAAAAATAAAAACAGCAAAAATGAAAGTAAACTAAAACACAAGGTACTGTATCATCAATCCTAATCTCTTCTTGCTTATACTGTTAGAAAATGCCTTTCTTCTTCCTCAGCTGCCGTAGTTTTAACTATTGGTAAAAGCACCTACCCATCTTAGTACCAACTTACGACACAGCCTTAGTACTGACTTATGACATCATAGCCTTAGTACCAACTTACAACATCATAGCCTTAGTACCGACTTATGACACAGCCTTAGTACTGACTTAAGACATCATAGCCTTAGTACTGGCTTACGACACAGCTTTAGTATTGACTTATGACAGCATAGCCTTAGTATTGACTTATGACATCATAGCCTTAGTACTGACTTATGACATTATAGCCTTAGTACCAACTTACAAATTCATAGCCTTAGTACCAACTTACGACACAGCCTTAGTACTGACTTAAGACATCATAGCCTTAGTACTGGCTTACGACACAGCTTTAGTATTGACTTATGACATCATAGCCTTAGTATTGACTTATGACATCATAGCCTTAGTACTGACTTCTAACACAGCCTTAGTACTACCGACTTATGCCTTAGTACTGACTTATGGCATGAATGGATGATATACGGTTGATAGATACATAGATACAAATTTATAGATATATTGGAGAAAGGGAAAGTGACATTACAGAAAAATGCACACATAATCACCCCCACTCAAAGGTTAGATGTCTGAAATTTAAATCTGACTAGAAATTACAAACAAATAAGTGAATATTTTAGAATATGTCTTCTGCCCGCTAAGGACCAAATTCATCATCTTTTTCTCTCATTTCTGTTTAAGAACACAAAATCATGTTAAATAAATGTTTATGGAATGAATGAGGAAGTACAAGAACAAATAAATTGAGCCCTAACTAGGTTTTCTTCATAATAGCTATTGGCTGTAATCCCACACCCCCAATGCTGTCCAGCTGTACTGTTAATAAATGGCCATGAAGTAACATTACTGCCATTAGTGTCAAATGTTTCAATGAAAGGGATAAATTATGTGTTTACTCCTCACAGCCGACCGCACCTATCATTTGTGAATTTCTCACAATGATGGCAGTCTGCCACACAGCTGTACCAGAGAGAGAAGGCGAGAAGATCTTTTACCAGGCAGCATCTCCAGGTACAGAAGAAGCAACAATGGAGTATTTTTCTGTAGGCAGTTGTTCTGAAATTTGGCATTATAGAACTTAAATTTTCAATTTAATTTATAAGTGGAATATCACCAAATTATGATTTTAGATTTAAAACAATTGGATCCTAATTAGAAACTTGGCTTTCAGGATTAAATGTGTGTGTGTGTGTGTGTGTGTGTGTGTGTGTGTGTGTGTGTGTGAGAGAGAGAGAGAGAGAGAGAGAGAGAGAGAGAGAGAGAGAGAGAGAGAGAGAGAGAGAGAGAGAGAGAGAGAGAGAGAGAGAGAGAGAGAGAGAGAGTGTGGTTTTGTGTATGTGATTTTTCTCAAATTAATTATATGGAAAATTGAGTTATAAAGTGTACACAAAGGAATAAAATATTTGTATACATGTAATTGTTCCCCCTTATAAGTAACAATAAACTCTTGCGTGATGGGTTTTACACATAGTCAGATGGGAGATTTGTTTGCCTAAAGAAAGCTGCTATGCATGGTTTTAGAACATAATTCTGCCCCCTCTTTAGGGACTGGAGGGCACCTTTTCTGTGTTCACTTAGGTGAGGAGAGCTTCTTGCACTTCAGGGGCATTCTATAAAATATTTACTGGTCATTAAGCTATTTCGGCTTGATTCTAGACTTATTTCCAAGATAAAATTAGGTAAATAATCCAAACTTTAAGGGAAATGATACACTTTGTATTTTAAAACCATATTCTTAACTAGTGGTTATGTCTTGAACAATTCATCAAATCCCTTAACCAGAGTAAGAAATTTTGTTGTTTCACATAGAGTATATGTGTGTATGTATATTGTGTATGAGTGTATGTATGTGTGTGCACATGTGTGTATATGTGTGCACGTGTGTGTTCACTGTGTGTATGTATGCACGTGTGGATGGATATGTGTATGCATGCACATGTATGTGTGGATGGATGGATGGATGTGTGTGTGGATTGTGTGTGTGCATATGGCGTGTGTGTGTGTGTGTGTGTTTGTGTGTGTGTGTGATCACTGTCCCCAGTGACAAAGCTTGGTGACACTGTGAGGAAAGGAGCTGACATAAACTAAGCCTCTGTTCCCTTTAAGTGATTCAGATCTCAGGCTTTGGAATTAACACTCAACCATTTGGGGGGAATGGATAAATCTTTAAAAGACTTCCTGCCACAGATTTGGAGAAAGGTGTCCTCAAGCGTATGCTGACTAAGGTGTCCGTTCAAGCTGTCACTTTCGGGTGTGGGTCACGAACGGTTGTTCTCATTCCTCTGGCATCATCTTATACACAGAAAGGAATGGGTTTCAGAGCATAATGAAAGGAATTTTTTACTGAGCAGAAAACTGCCTTGTGCCAGTTTCTTTCCCTTACATTTGCTTATATCATCTGTTTCTGTCCTGTTTCTGCCACCTGTTCCCTGACACAGATGAGGGAGCACTGGTCAGAGCAGCCAAGCAGCTGAATTTTGTCTTCACTGGAAGAACTCCTGACTCGGTCATCATAGATTCAGTAAGTCACTTGTGTCTTAAGGGCGCTTTAAAACCTGCATAGCACACTCCTGTAGCTTCAGAGATAAAGGCAGTATGGAAAAGATCACAGTGGAACCAAAGTCACCTCTCCAGGGGGCACCGCTGTCCATCCTTTCTTTTGGTTCTTTCAACACTTGCAAAATTGTGGCTGATAATACGCTTGATAGACAATGTTGACTCTTCCAAACTAGACCTATCTACTGATTTTCTGCTCTACTAAAAGGAGATTTATCTGCCTTGAGTCATCTTTCCATTTGTTCTCATGATTCCAGGCATTATTAAATGTTTGGTTATGTGAGTATGCAGAAGCCTGGGTATAGTGCATAGGCCTGTTATCACAGTGCACGGGAGGTAGGAGACAGGAGGATCTGGAGTTCAGAGCCAGCATGGGCTACATAGCGAGTTTGAGGCCAGCCTGGGCTACATGAGCCTGGGCTACGCTGTCTTAAAACAGCCAACAACAAAAAGGTCATTCTTTAGGATCTGCTTTTACATGGGAATTTCTGAACAGATTTATCACAGCAGGTGATATCCAGGTGGCTACAAGCAGACCATGGCTAGTCATCAAGGAAATGCAAAACCATAGTGGAACACTACTGGGCACCCACTGGGAAGACTGAAATTAAAAACATTGATGGAAACAAATGGTAGTGAATTTTTGAAGAGTTTTCTAATAAAGGAAAGCTGCCTCGATGCAGCAGCTATACTCAGTTCTCAGCTACTCAGGAGAAAGGGAAGTTCGTGTCCACCATAGGAGGTCTAATGGGGTGCTCGTGGTGGCTGCCTTCACTGCTACGCCAAACCCGAAGCAAATAAACGCATATGAGCAGGAGAGGATGAACAGGTTGAGATCCGTCTGACAATCGAAACAATGAAAAAGGTGAACTCTTGATTCTTGAGTAGTGTGGATAAATCACGAAAACTCTATATTGAGGAGGGAAGAATGCCAGGCACGAAGGAAAGCCTCCTTTATGAGCCCATCTGTCTGCAGCTGGAAACTGTGCAGACGTGATTTATAATGATAGAATCTTGAACAGCCATTGCCTTGGGGCGGGGAGAAGATTGATTGGAAATGCAACGAGAGAATTCATGTCGAGATGTTCTGCATCCTCGACAGGGCGGTGTTTGCACAGGCAGTACCTTTATCAAACTGTACAGTTTGCATTGAAGATCTCTGTTGTTTATTTAACGTAAATGATAGCTCATTTTAAAAATTATTATTAGCGTTTTTATTACACCTGTACATGTATTCATAACTAAGCATCTTTGCACTTGGTATCTTTTCATTAAACTCTTTCCTAGCTCAAGTTTTTTTTTTTCTTAAAATTCGTTTTCCATCATTTTCTAAGGATAAATTTTTGACATTTTTTATTGTATCCTTTTCTTTCCATGACTCTATGGGTCCTTGCCTCCTTAGCTAGTAAGCTCAGTAGGACCACAGCAGATAATCTTGTCTGTTGGGAGTTCTGTCACAGTCTCTACTCGACAGAGTTCTCCCGCCTGCCTCTGTGATCCTCGGAATGCTTCTGAGCCCTCTCCTGTCTTTCACTACTCACTAACCTGAAAGTTTAGTAAACTCTCTTCCGTAATTCAGAAGGAGGAAGGGAAATTTGTGTTTGTGTTGACATTTTATAATAAAAATTTGTGACAAGTGATTATTTCCAAGAAACCTAAAGTCTTTTCATTTCTTTTATTCTGCAGCTGGGGCAGGAAGAAAGATATGAATTGCTCAATGTCCTAGAGTTCACCAGGTAAAGACACCTGCTCTAGAATTTGTGGGGGGGGGGATATATTTTCATTCATTTTTTGTTTTTCCTATCTATAGCTGGAATGTATGCTTTACTCTTATTTATGGGTTTAAGCAGAATATTAAGATCTTCCATGTGGTTTAGGTGTCCTGTCTGTAGACTAGTCATGCACAGTTTTCTTCGGGACATGGGACTGTGTGGCTTCTGCTGGCTGTTCAAAGGGTCTTTCTGTGAGGCAATTGCCTGAATCCCAGCTACAGGACAAGACTAAGAGCCCTGTGGCTGGCATGTTAGCTAGCCTTCTGATATAATATCGAGTGTCTGAAACAGTCACCTCCTAAAGATGAGTTTATTTTGACACGTTTTGGAGACTGCACTCCATGACCAATAGCCTAGCTATGCTGGGCCTATAGTGAGGTAACGCATGAGTCAGGAACACGGGGAGAAGTAACCCTACTCGCCTCATGGCTCCACTACCATGGAGTCTTCAGAGATGGCCTTAGTGCTCATGAGATACTTACAAATCTCAAAAGAACAAGAAAGTAGACATGGTTTCACAGATGTCCCTCAAAGCCTACCCCCAATGACCCAAAGACCTCTTACTTTTTAGAGGTTCCCACCTCCTAATAGCACCTCTTTGGGATCAGTCCTCCAATACATGGGGCCTTTGGGAGTATATTTCAGTTCTAAACTCTAGCATCTAAGACGTAAAATCATAGATACACTAAGAGGCAACAAGATTTATGTGGAATGAAATTGTTAAGATTCAAGAAGCCTCTGTATTCATTTTATGTTCCTTATGCCCACTTGTCGCTGTGAAGTAAGAATTACCATCTAGTAGGAAGGAACAGAAAGCAAAGTGAGTGTCTCACTCACTCCTTTCTTAAAAAGAAATAATGTTGGCAGTGTTCATCACTGTGACAAGATCCTGCCAGAAACAACATAAAGAAACTAAACTTAATGTTAGCTCACGTTTTAAAGGGATACAGTCCATCATGGCAGGGAGAGCAAGGTGCCTGGAGCTCCATGGATAATGGCAGGAGCTTGTGGCATGTCTCATTAAATCCCCATGAATCCAGAGGCAGAGAGATTAGAGCACCAAGCCATAACCCTGAAGACATCTCCCCCAGTAACACCGTTCAGTCCAGTAGGCCTCATCTCCTAAAATTCTTAGCACTTCCTAAATTAGCTCTTCAATCAAAGACCAAGTATCAAATCTAGGAGCTTATGGGGATGTCTTTGCACTCCAGCTAGAGCAAAGGCCTTCAACTATACCACTCTACTCAGACTTATATTGGGCCTTGTTGCCTAGCCACCCTATGTTCACGGGACAAATGGGTCTCTAAAGACTGTATGTCCTCTCAAAGGACACTTCAGAAACAAAAGCCCAGAAAAGAACAATGCTTTGTTTGAGAAAAGACATGCCCACCCGTTTTTCTGAGCTTTCTCCTACATAAGCAAATTTACACAGTGCCTGGGAGAGACAGTTCCTTTTGTATGCTAACTTTGGTGACCACATGACTAAATAACAGGGTCTTCCGAGACATTAAACACTATCCTTGTGCTATATTTTCCAAACTGCTCAAAGGAAAAGAAGCTGAGTTAATTACCTAGGATAGAGTATTCCCACCTACATCACTCATCTCTGTCTTCATGATAAAGTGTCTTTCCCAACCCTGTTTGTGTTAAAGGTAATATAAACAGCATATAAATTAGCATATAGATGTGGTTTTTGAACACTCTATGCTGATGAAAAGTGCCGTGGAGAAAAACAAATCAAAAGTGAGGACTTTCAGGTCTTTGATTCTGTAGTGAGGGTGGGCCTCGGCCTGGAAAGGGGAACGATTGTGATGCTGTCAAACAGTCTTCCGTGAGTGCACTAGCAGTTTGGATCAGGATAACGGTGGTGAGATTGAAGAAAAGATGATGGGCTTTTTACACCTATTTGAGGGAGATCAGTGGAATTTGGCTATAGATTGGATGGGTGGGGCAGGAACAAAGAGAAGAAAGGGAAGGGTGAGGATCCTAGTTCGAACAGCTAGGTATGTAGAAATTCCCTGTACGTGGATGACAGATACAGGCATAGGAACGATGTGGTAGATGAGATGTTTGGAAACACTATGCTTTAGATGTCTGGGAGACATACAGATGAAAATGTCCAGTAGGGAATTGGCTATAAAGCCAGAAAATAAAACCATAACTATGAAATACCCATTCAGTAGTCCCTGGTCTCCAAATGATACCAAAAGTTTATGTCAATAGGACCCTCTGAAGATAAAATAGAGACTAAGGAGAAAGTGGAAGGCTGATGACTGAGCTACTTATTAAAAATAATTCTAACTATTAAGGATTGATTGCAAACTAAGAATTAGCCAAATATTGTGGCACAGACCTGTAATCCTCACTAATTTAGAGACAGAAACAAAAAGGTCCCAAGTTCAAAACTTCCCTGGGATGCAGACAAGTTTAAGGTCAGCTCAGGCCCCTTACTCAGAACTTGCCCTGAAATGAGAAATAGACTATGTGTATACTTCAGCGCTAGAGTGCTTAGCTAGCATGGGCAACTATTGCAAGAGGGAACTAAATAAAATCAAGATGTTATTGTTAAAGATACAGAGGACAAAAGCAGAATGATAAATAGCCCAGACCTTCTTAAGATTTCTCTCAGCTGCCAGTGTAGGTAAAGGCTAAGTTTGGAAAAGATCTGTTGAGTATTCATTGGAATGGTGGGAAGATGGGAGTGGAAGGGAGATGGGTGGAGCCTGAATATAGACATAGTTCACCCAGAGTTGAGTTACAGAGTTGAAAGGACTTGTGACTCACAGGGGAGGATGCCTGCTCGGTGAGGTATAAGGGAGACCCTAGAACATGTCTGTGGTTCAGCATGATCCACATAGAAGGGGAAGGGGGCAGATTCACAGGAGAGCTGCGTGGTTTCAGAGTGAAGCCGCTGAGAAGGTGAGGTGAGCGATTTAGTCATCCTGTGGAAGGAACGGCTCAAAACAGAACTACTTCTACCTGGTGTCAAGTAAATCCGAGGGAGGAGGGAACAAACATAGCCAGCTTTGGATGCTGAAAAACGTGAGGGATTGAGGGTGAGCCCCTGAAATTCAGAGTCTGGAACAAGAAGGAAGCGTGGAAGGACTTGGAGAGTCAAGAACGTGTGCTGAGGCCTCGCAGGGGTGAGGGAGCCAACCTCGCAGAGGGAAGAAATGTACAGGTGGTCAATGTGGAGCACCTTTGCTTTGTACATCCCATAGTATTCCCCTCGGACTCGGTGACTTTTCTCTGCAATGGCCATCTTACTTTGATGGATCTCAGAAGAGGTTTCCCAGTTGCGATTAGAGATCTTGCCAGGGGAAGTAACTTGATGATTCTGGGACCATTAAATCAGCACTGAAGTAAGAATGTCATGGGCCAAGAAGGGCTGAGTTAATGTGTAGGTGAGACCAGTTTGCATATTCGTACAGTGTTTCCACCCTGGCTGAGGCCTCACTTCCTCATGGTCAGCCATACTCTAAAAATATCTAATGGAAAACTCTAGAAGCAAACAATTTCTAAGTTTCAAATACCTTTTACTTTTACTAAGATATATTATTATAATTTTTCTCTTAGTCACTGTTGTTAGTTGCTTACTCTAACAAATTAAACAATGTCATAGGTATATATGTACAGAAAAAAATGCATTATTGGGTTGACACTATCCCCAGTCTTTGGCATCTTCTGGGGGTCTTGGACTGTACCCCTCTCAGTAAAGGGCCTTCTGCAACCATTGAAACAACAATGAATGTTTATATTGCTTCTTACAAGTACTAGCATTTGCCTTTATCTGTGATTATATAGTTAAAAATATTGTTTCTGTTTTTAATTTTTAAAGTGTGGCCTATAACCATCTATTAAGATACTAGCTCAAATAATTTTCAAATATTAACATATTAAACATGTTGCTACTCTGATGGGTATTAACTCTTAGAGGTGTCTGGGGAACTGTTTGGCTTATTCCTTTAGGACAGTAGATGGTACTCCAGTGACGTCAAAAATCTAATGTGACTCTCTGAGGCCACCAGCTGTGCACTCGGGAGATAATTTGTATATATGAAAGATTATGGCTCATAATTTGGTCGGGTTAATTTTGTCACCTTGAGCATTAAAATCTGCGAAGCCCAACAAGAACCTGTCTATGCAGATCTGCGGTATGATGACCCATTATGGAAATCTCTTTATTTCAGCGCTAGGAAGAGAATGTCGGTGGTGGTTCGCACTCCCTCCGGGAAGCTACGGCTTTACTGCAAAGGCGCTGTGAGTCTTTTTTTTTTTTTTTCCTTTTACAGTTTTGATTTACGGTGGTTTATAATGTACGTGTTAGGCATCCTGCTATGGAAATGTAACACAGATGTTTAACGTGAAACTGATGACATCCACGTTTGTTGGTGTTTTATAGTAACAGCCTTCAGCCTCTTCTGGTGAAATGGTGAATTCCTTCTGGATAAATTTGGTGCTTTGAAAAAGTCTGGCATAGGTTACTTTTGTAATTCAATTTTTAATACATGATATTTGAGGTTTGTGTTATATTAGCTCTGTTAGCGGATGACTAAATACAGAAAATATTTTTAAATTGTATTAGAATCTAATGATACACTCTGATTTTAATCTACTTGCCTAAAGAGCGTAGAAATGAGGAGAGGGTTGGCTCACAATTATTGCCGCAATTTCTCATTTGGTATTGCTTGCTTGTCTTGCTTTAGATATTATAGGACTTCTGATTGTTGGCTGGCTTCAGCATGTGAGTAGGTTATAGTGGCAGAAATAGTATTGCCTATTCCCACTGAATTTTCCAATGAAAAGCATGTTTACAGTGGTGGGAAGCATGAGAACCCTACCAACCAGGCCGTTCTTTGCTGGGACTCGTCAGGACTTTCCTCTTGAGGTGCCCTTTGCCTGGTGAGACTTCACACATTTCAGCTTGGAATTTTACAGTTTTAAAGGGACTCAATAAGTGTGCTCAGTTCCATGGAAACTGGGAAACTAAAGTTAAGAAAGCCAAACCTCTTGTTTAAATTCCTGTTGAGAACCTTAAATGCCTTGGCTTTAAAGTCTCGAAACACAATTTTTGAATGCCGCTGGTTTTAGGACACTTTGGTAGAATTATTTCATGATGTCTTCTGAATTTGGCTATGTAGGGTTTTTTTCTTTTTTTGGTTCTTGTGTTCCCATTGATTAAGATGCCACACATGTGTTCATCATGGGTGTTTTATCTTCAGACTTTGAACTTGACTTTAGAGATGTGACGACAGGACCATGTGAGGAGCTTAAGTCTAGCCAGGGAAGTCCATGCATGCAGAGATGGTTAGGATGTAGTGCTGAGTCACATGGTACAGATTGTCCATGTTCCTATGGCAACATGCACAGTAAGAGAGTGAAAGGAAGCTAAGACCGCCCTGTCACTGGTTGATGTCCATCTGGTTTGCAACACCCACATCGCACCTTCGCTTTACAATTTTGGACATTCTACCTCTAAACATTTACTGGAGGGAACTAAAGTATTGGACAGAAAATAAAAACATGGATTTTTTTTTTAGCCACAGAGATTGCACATATTAACATCGTGTTGTATCATTTTTCCCTCCAGAACAGAGATAAATCGTAAAACAACAAGAACTGTTTGACAATGGTAGTTTGTAGATTGACATGGACTAGCTGAACATGGGCCAGGCAGATGGGTTTGTATGGATTGGCTTTGGGTGAGGGGTTGTGTTGGGTTTGCCCTCATACCTGTGCTCAAGAGCAGGTATTTTCTTCTTGATCATTTCCTTGTTATTGGGGGAGATGATTTGAGGGCTGCAAACAGATGCAGACGGAGGTTCCGGTTAAACCTCATCATCTCTTCCAGGCAAGAGCCTCTAGGGATGGCTGGAGACAGGCACAGGGAAGACTGGGAAGGAAGATTTAAGGCTTAGTAATTGATGTTTGCAGGTGCTGAAGGAAAGGATTATCAGGGATCATTTGGGGATTTCTACTTGGCTTGCCGAGCGGACTAACACCGCTTTACCATGATAGAGAGCTGGGAATTATACACAGGGCTATCAGGTGCCGAAGCTGGGAATTCCCAGGAAAAGAAGTTGGAGTAAGAGAATCTGGAAAAATGAGCCAGCTGTTAAGAGTTCTTGCTTACCTTCCAGAGAACATGAGTCGAGTTCCTAGCACCCACACAGCTCCAGGGGAGCCAGATTCTCTTCCAGCCTCCAGGGCACCCACAACAGTGATCTACATTCACATAGACACCCTGAAGAAAAGACCAAGTCTTCTTTGCTCCACATTCTTTGGTTGCATGTAGTTCATTGTCGATGGGTGGAGCCTGTGGTAGCTGGAATGAAAGGATCCACGTAGGTTTAGGAGGTGTGACCTTGCTGGAGTGGGCATGACCTTGCTGGAGTAGGCAGGACCTTGTTGGAGGAAGTGTATCACTGGGGGTGGGCTTCGAGGTTTTTCAGAAGCTCAACTTATTCCCAGTGGCTCACTCTTCCTTCCTGCTTCCTGAAGATCCAGATGTAGAACCCTCAGCCCCTCTCAGCACCATATCTGCCTGCATGCCGCCATGCTTCCTGCCGTGACGATAATGTACCAAAACTCTGAACCATAAGGAGCCCCAGTTAAATGTTTTATTTTATAGGAGTTGCTGTGGTCATGATGTCTCTTCACAGCAATTGAAACCCTGGCTAACAGAGGGCCCCTGAGACTTCAACCTTCAGTGTTTAGCTTCCCTTTCATTTCTGGAAGACAAAGTCTCACAACAGACTTTCTGATCTTTCTAAGCCTCTCGACCATGACATTCCCTGAGCCTTAGGTGCAGGTGTTTGTTGTAGATGTATCTACTATGACCGGCTAGGCTCCCACAATTGGCTGATCTCTGCATTGGGACCAGTTGTGGTTTCTCTGTTTGCTACAAGGCAAAGTTCCTTTAGTGTGAAGTGAGAGCCACACTTAACTGTTGGGCTAAGGGTGAGTTTTAAAATGGAGTTGGGAACTGTAGCCGGAGGAGGTTCTCCTCCAAGATCCATAACATCACTAGTGCCAGGTCGTTGGCTAGGCTTCTAGTACCAGGCATGATTTCCCTCCCATGGAGCTGGCCGTAAGTCCAATTAGGGAGCTCAGGTGCAAGCCAGCTTCCCTACTCTGAGGCCAAGCCCAAAGTGCTGAGCTTTCTAATCATGCAAAGGGGCTGCAGAAACACTCATGCCAACCCCTGCTAAGACTATAAAACCATGAGCTTGGCATGCGTACAAGAAAATACAGAGCCAGGGATGTGTGTGGAAATCTCACACCAGAGGAGCCAGGGCACCATAACCAGAGAAATGTGGATTCGCTCCAGATTAGACCATCTGTGTAGATGCTCTGCCTCGGTGTTGGAAGCTCGGCACGATAAATAAAAAAGTTACAGCTATTTGCATTCAAAAGACACTGGGAAGGGGATCTGGTGGATGTGCAAGGTGAATCAGAAATCTTAAGCGGTCTTTAAAATAATCATAAAGTAAATTCTGAATTAGGCACAATTGAGGGGAGACTGAGGTTAGCAAATTAGAAGACAGTACTGAAAATTCCCTGCAGCATACAGTAGAAAGAAGCAGGGACTGGACTGGTGTGTGATTTATAGTTCCTGGTTTTTTAAGAGTTTCTATAAGGAAGATACCTTGCTTTGTTAACTTTTAAGTTTAAAATGGAAGCATGTACAGTTTACAGTTTGCATCTGCGATCGTAGCCAGTTAGAGAAAAGGACCATTTACTCAACTAAATCATCAGTTTCCTCAAGAAGTTTACTCTAAACCACAGGAAGACTTGAGAAACTCGACTAACATATTTGATCTTACAGGAACCTTAAGGAGACTGGAAATATCAAAGTAGGTATCTCTTAAAATTCTCTGCTGTATCCAAAATAGACCATCTCTAAAATCAGCTGCTTTTAGCAGTTCTCTCCCACATCAGAGGCAAAGTTTAGCTAATTCTGAATGGAGCCTATCACAGAAAATATTTGTGCATATTTAAATATGAGCATGCCATGGGCTGGTGAAATGGGTGAGTAAATAAAGGTTCTGACCCAAAACTTGGCCAACGTGAGTTTAATCCCTGGGGCCTGCATGGTAGAAAGACAGAACCCAGTCCTGTAATTTGTTCTTTGGTCACCACACACACAGCATGGCACAGCGATTACATCATTTTCCCATCCCTCCCGTACACCGCTCCTTGCTCTTTCCAATCCATGGCTTCTTTTTCATTCATTGCTATTACGTGCGTATGTATATCTGCATATATATTCCTGCTCAGTCTGTCTCATGTTACTTGAATGCACTTAGTCACTGTTCTATTGCCGTGAAGAGATGCCATGACCAAGGAAACTCTTAGAAAGCCTTTAGTCTTGGGGCTTGCTGACAGTCGCAGAGATCTAATCCATTATCATCCTGGTGGCGACCATGGTGGCAGGCACTGGAGCAGCAGCTGACAGCTGTACCTTGATCTGTAGATCGAACAGCAGAGTGGGCCTCTTGTAGGCTTTTGAAACCTCAAAGCCCATCTCCAGTGACATACTTTGTCCAACAAGGCCACACTTCCTAGTCCTTCTAATCCTTTCAAACAGTTCCACTTTCTGGTGACTAAACATTCAAACATATAGGCCTATGGGGGATAGTCTTAGTCAAATCACTACAGTATGTTAAAAACTACAGTGTGTTAGGGCCATTTGGTACTGGATAGCCAAATGGTGTGATCTTCCCCGGGGAAGACTATTTCTCTCATCATTAGCATTCCTTAGACCTCAACCCTACACAGAGAGTTTATTCTTTTTTAAAATATGTTTTGGTTGGGACTGGGGAAATACCTCAGTAGGTAAGATGCTTGGCATACAAGCATGAGGACCTAAGTTTCATCGTGAAAACCCACATAAAAGTAAAAAATAAGTAGTGTGGGGCCGGAGAGATGGCTCAGAGGTTGAAAGCACTGACTGCTCTTCCAGAGGTCCTGAGTTCAATTCCCAGCAACCACATGGTGACTCACAACCATCTGTAATGGGGTCTGGTGCCCTCTTCTGGCCTACAGGGATACACACAGACAGAATATTGTATACATAATAAATAAAATAAATCTTAAAAAAAAATAAGTAGCATGAACTTGTAATTCTAGGAGAAGTAGAGATGGAAGATCTTTGGGGTTTGTTAAACAGCCGACGTAGCCAGCAGGCAAGTGAGAGACCTATCTCACAAAAATAAGGTGACTAGCTCCTGAAGAACAAAACTGGAGGTTGACCAGTGGCCTCCACATGCATATGAATACACGCATGCATACATGCACGTGCACAAAAATATGTTCATAAACATAGAGCTGAATTTGAACTTTAGTCTTAAACACAGTAGGATCCAGAGGTGGTGTCCCATGTCTTTAATCCCAGTGCTTGGGAAGTCGAAACAGGAAAATCAGAGGTCAGGGTTGTCCTCGGCTACATAATAAATTCAAAGCCTGCCTGAACTACATGAGACCCTGTCTCCAAAAAGCAAAAAGATAACAAGCAAGAAGAAAACAGTTTTTTGAGTAAACGATCACCAAAAAGGAATGATTAACCCCGGGTTTAATTTTCCCTAAAGCCTTGGACCCATCCATAGTAATAATAATTTGGCTGTGCCTTGCCATCTACAACAATAGTCCGGTCACTGTGGTTTTCCAACTTCTCCTTACTGAGGGCCAGGGTACAAGATAACCAACTTCCCTGAGGAGCTTCCATAACTTCTAAGTCTAGGGAGGGATTTTTTTTTTCACTCCTAAAAGCATGGCATACTATTAAGTATTTCGTTCTTCACGGGCAAGCACGGCAACCACTGTGACTGCCGTTTGGAAACCTGTATGTGCTGCAGAAGGCCACATCCCCTCCCTTGCTTTTCTCAATACCACAAAGAATGTGGTCAATGAATCGCTTCTTCTGAGCGCCAGCGTGTTCAGACATACTGCGGAATTCAACCTCCCTCCTCTTTCACCTACCACTTCTGTCTTTCAAGTTTTTAAAAGGTTTTCTTCCTCTGAAAATGGCCCCTGTTAGCCTTGTGGAAATTTTCATGAACCACTATTAAAAAAAAAAAAAAAAAAACAAGAACTCCAAAGTGACTCCTTTCCCTCCCAGGAAAGAGCCGTGATCGCAAACTGTCACTTCCTTCTCTGTTTCCCTTCCCATCCACTACTGGAAAATGAAAAGAAATTCATAATTGGAGCTTGGGCCATTCCATCTGTTCTGAGGTCACTCGCATGTGTTTCTCTCAAGGGCTCTAAATCATACTCCATTAGTCAGTTTCCAGATCTCGGCCCGAGCCTGGAAACCCCACGGTGGGTACTACCACCGAGAGAGTAATTGCAGGTAAATGATTTATTTTTTCCTGGTCTAATAAAAAGTCATGAAGGCTGAATACTGACATTCTTTAAGACATTAAACCAAAGCCAGCGAATAACTGAAGGAACAATAGGCATTTTATAAAGGAGAAAAGAGCAGAGGGACGTAAATGGCGCATAAAGCCAAAGCCAACGGGACTTTCGAATGGTTCGGAGGAGGGCTGAGTGGGATCAAAACACACTATGGCTATTTCAAAGAAATAATACTGTTATTAATCCGGGAGTTTTAATTTACAAATTAAGTCAACCAAGTTTTAAAGGTAGACACAGACACAGAGATGTAGGTTGTTTGAAGCAGCTCCAGGACTGAAGGTCCTCATTGTATCCCCACTGAACATCTCAGGACATTTGGTGGCCCGGTGCTGTGCCACCTCAAGTGTGTCCCTCTGTGAGGACAGACCCGGAAAGGTGCTCTTGTCCCTGGAAGGGTCTATGGTTGGATAAGTTTTATGTACACACGTAGCCACTGAGGCTCCAGCTCCTGGGGGAGCTGCATAGGACCGATTCTTTGTCAGGCAAGCACACCCAATATTCCCTGAGCCTAGACCATTTTCTGCTAAACACGATTCACGAAATTCTACAGAACCTCCAGGGATAGCGCTCTCGGCCACTTAGTGGCTCCAGTTCTCAGGCGCTAAGGCTACAAGTGAAGGCCACCAGGCCCAGTTCCTTCTCTGGGTTTCCAACCAATTCTAGATGAGTTACAATTCTTCCTGTGTCATAAACATTATATGGGAAACGTTATCGTACTGTTTATGGAATTATCCCGAGAAAATGTGTGTGCATATTTCTCTGCAGACCCAACCTTACAGGCCAGATTACATTTTCTGCCTGTGACTGATTGAATCCATGGATGCAAACCCACAGGTCCAGCTGTATTCCTTCCTGCCTTTGGGAATCATTGTTACTCATAGGCCATAAAACAAAACAAAAAAAAAAAAAAAACCTGTGCTTAAAAGAAAACACCGGGAGTTTTTGTATAGATTCGCAACTAATAACATTGCTGACCACAGTCTTATTAAATCCAGGATACTTAATTAATCCACCCACACCTTCTGCTTATTTTCCAGGACACAGTAATTTATGAACGACTTGCAGAGACTTCAAAGTACAAAGAAATCACCCTAAAACATTTAGAACAGTTTGCTACGGAAGGTGAGTGTTCTATGAATAGAACTTGATTGAAACGCGAAGGAATCATGGACTTTTGATATCTTGCAGGGTCATTGGCAATTTTACTTCCAGATTTCTTAGATGAATGATTGGTTATTGATGATAGCTTAGATATTCCTATGCACTATTCCCACAAGTTTTCTTCTTAAGGAGAAAAAAAACCTAAAATACCAAGAGACTTTGACCCCCATTTGATCTAGTAAAGCCTTTAAATCTGTATTACTTTTTAGAATGAATACCGCTTAAATTGCTTTACCTTGTATCTCATGGAATTAGTTAAAAAAATTAAATAACTGAGCTTCTATAATATGAATAATAAAAAGAAATACCTATATTATTATGTAAATTTATAACCTGACTTTTTTATTATTTTTATTGAACCCCACCCAGTGTCTGTGTGAAGCCCAAGAATCTGTGGTAAATAAAATCTGCCCTGTAACTGTCCTCCTGAAATAGATAAAGATGTACGAGGCCAGCAATACAGGGTCTAAACAATTGTTCTGGATTCGAAAATTGGAAGAGGGCCGACCAGCTTTCTGGTCCGTTAATCGGAGAATGTGTATTATCGTATTACCGCGTTTAATGGCGACATTCACTGAGTGTGTAAATCACCAACCTTCGTTTTCACTCCTGCTTCAGCTAGCCCGACCCCTGCTCAAGTCTTTGCTTCTTCATAATCAAGTCTTTGAAAAGATAAGAATATTTTCTAAAAACAGTAGACCAAATTAAGTAAATAAATAATCCGTTTCAGAATAGCAGGGCATAATGTTCTCCAAGTTCCCAAGAATGCAAGAACTCAGAAACGTCCACATCCCCCAACTGGGTATGCCAGGTTTAAGCCGCCCAGTTTCAGGTCACACAGGTTTTAGTTGGAGGTCTGGACTCCGCCAAACTGGTAGCAGTATTACCAGGCTCTGGTTTCCCTGTTTGAATTGTCTTGGCCCCCATCACGACCCAATTCTTTCTGCCCTTGGGCTGAAAGAGACTTCTTTTCCCATTGCTGCTCCCGAGGAAGTCTCCAGCCACGTTCCCAAAAGAGGGAAAGAAAAACTGCTCGAAATACAGCCTGAAGGTTTAAGTTCCACCGAGTGACCCGGTGGTCAGTAACTCTGCTCCTCTCTCAGGAGGTAGAGCTGTCCTGCAGACAGTGAAGGGGTGTTGGAGAAAGGGAGGTAAAACGGATACCCTGGCCAATGAATGCAGAGAACCCCCTATGTCCCAGGAAGTGAATGGCACGAAGTATGGGGAGACAGTTGAAGAGTGTGAACCACCTTCTGGGTTTGGGACTTCATCTGGGTGGATCCTAGATGTGGAGGAAGGGTTAAAGGGGCTTGGAATTGTAAGCAAGGTACAAAATTTAAAAGCCGAAAGCGCATTCTAAGCATTTGATATTGAGGTTTGTATCATAAAGTCACATGTCAACAATTTGACTCGGAAGACTACTCAAAATTGGATTTTGTTAAATATTGGAAAGGTCAGACGTGTGACTCGGTCTTCTGTGGTGTGCGGGGCATGCTGCCTCTTGCAGGGCTGAGGACTCTGTGTTTTGCTGTGGCTGAGATTTCCGAGAGTGACTTCGAGGAGTGGCGGGCTGTCTACCAGCGAGCATCCACATCGGTGCAGAACAGGCTGCTGAAGCTGGAGGAGAGCTATGAGCTGATTGAGAAGGTGCGTGGGGCCTTGTCGCCTACAGAAAGTGCATTGCCACAGGTGTCCAGTCTTTCCTTGCCGGAGGAAGAGGATCAGTAGAATCAGAAGAGGCTATGTAGTAGGTGGCTGGTGGTTGTCTAGGGTTTGCTGAGTTCATTTCCTGGCATGGGAAAGACAAAAGCAAACCTCCAGAGAAAGGTAAAGAAGCAGCTTTATCCCTTCGGGGTGGGAAGGGGCTAAGGTGGAGTTCTCTCGATGGATGCTGGCTTGGGTATGCTATGGGGCCCCTGGGCCCTTTCTTTCTCCTTATTAGCCCTTCGTGTCTCCAAGTTCTCCTCACGGTGCTTTCTGGGAATGAGAAGGCACAATCCCAGGGAGCCTGTTTTTACTTTATTATCCACCTGCGTCTTTTTAACCCCCATTCAGCTATTCACAAGACTTCACTGTTGGTCCTCAAGATCAGCGACCAGTAAATCTTAATATGGTCCAAAATCTTGCTGAAGGGCCCAAGGACTAGGCATTGTTATATATAGATCTTCACTGTTCCCAGTTTTGTGTCATGATTTGGCTACTCTAGCAACTCCTGACCAGTGTATGTCACTGCTTCTGTATTGGGACATGTGCACACACAGGCACACATACAGGGACATACATACAGGCACATATACATGAGAACATACGTGCACATGGACACACACACTTGCCCATGCACACAGAGATCTACATATACAAGCACAGACACAACATGTACATTTATTATTGATATGTTTGTGTAATATGAAATGATGCAGCTCTGAGGATTTATAGAGAACCCGGTGCCTTCTCCTGCACTGGAGCTGCATTGGGCTGCACCCACTGTGTCCTTCGCCATTTCTGTCAAATGCCTTGATTTTACACTTAAAGAAATCAAGTCTGTTTGGGCTGATACAGCAGCAAGAACTCCTGTGTCCTGAATGAACGACAGCAAGCTTTTTGTGTAGTCCTTACTGTGCGCTAGTGGTGTAGGAGCCCCTTTCATCTGCTAACATGCTTAATCCTCTTGAGGAACTAATTGTCCCTACTTACAGATGAAGAAATCTAGGTGACAGAGAGGCTAAGACCCTGAACCACAGTCACAGAGTTCAGGAGAGGATTAGCCAGAGCCCTGTGCTCTGATGTGTTCAAGAGCCCTCACTCTAGCTTGACCTTGCCACTAAGTCACTGCCCAGTTACCCGATTCCCTCACTGTCTCCCCCCCTACCCTCCCGGGGTGCAGCATGGGATTGAGGGAACCTCCAAGGTGCGGTCCACCCGGTCATGCTTGCAGGTGGATGAGGCTGACATTTTTTCCTCTCTGCCGTGAAACTGGGTACTTCCTGGGTTGGAAGGCAACTAGCACCAAGACCTCCCAAGACTTGTTCCCCTTCACTCACACCCACCCCACTTCACTCCCCACAACCCTTCCCTTTATGTAACACTAGGGAACATCTTGTTCTAGCCGCGGTGGTTTTCTCTGACACATAAAACTCAAGATAGTCTTCTGTTTCCAAAATACACTGCAATCCCCTTAGGGTTAGTATCTGGTTTATTACATAAGTTAGGGAATGTTATATGCCCCTTTATGCTTATTATTTATTATTTAAGGGGAAGACACCTAGAGATACACATCTATGATTAAAAAACTCCCTTTTAACTGGGAGACACATTCAATATTTGTCCAGCAGATGGCGATCGTGAGTTACATTAAAATTTAAGTTTCCTGGGAACTTATTCCCCCCCACACACACACTTAGATAGTATACAAATACAGAAAGCGCCTTAAGACGGCCTTTAAAAAGAATGAAAAATAAAGTAATTTAAAGCTAACTGATTTTTAACATTTGTGATAAGCCACATGTTGAGAATCTAAGATGTAGACGTGTGAGGAGACAGGGTCCCGTCCTCAGCCAGCCTGCGGGTTTTATGTGCTTTCCTACTCCTGACATGGGGCTCTCCTTCAGGCTCTCATTTAACTAACATTCACTGAAGGACCAAGGCAGCTAGACCACAGCTAAGCGAATGAGGACAGCTCCCTGAGGCCTCTAGACACCACCGTGCCTGCACAGATTCCCTAGGTGAGGAACTTAGAGGAAGGACCCACTCTCTCTGTCTGAAGGAAGCTTCTGAAATGGCTCTCTAAAGATTGTTTTGCCAGATACAGGACAACAGTAGTCTTTGGGGGCTAGGCAAAGTTGGGGAAAAATAACACAGGGGTCCAGGTGCCTGAGTTCTTTTTTCTGGAAAGTGTCTCTGCCAGCCAGTCCCATTCTCTTGAGGACTGCAGGATTTTCACGCGTGTGAGACTGAGCAGGATGGCTCTGCTATGTGCCGGAATGTCCCCTCTCTGTCAAAACCAGCTGGATTCACACTCAGAAGCTGTGGTTACTGCCCCCCTTGCAAACAGCCTAGTGGGACACTTTGAACAAGAGAAGCCACCAGTTCCTTAGGTGTTTATTTCATCCGCTGTAGCTTCTTTGGCAGAGACACACTGATTGTGCACTCTGGTCCTTACGTGTTTGGAATCCATTAGCATGTAGACAGTGGTATTGGACTGAGAGTCGAAGGCAGTTCATTTCTAAACTGTGAGAGTGGTTTTTGCTTTTCTCTTTCTTCATAGAGCTGGGTCCGTTTTCCAAACAAAACACTGGCTCAATCCTAAGGTATGCAATTGATGATAGCCACGCTGCTCCAGTTAGCCTGAGGGCAGAAAGAAGCCCCAACTGTTCTCCCCTCTGCCTCCACCTTGCTCATGGTGGTCCGCAAGGGGCTTCCCAGGACTCTGGGCTCCACTGGGTACAGTCTGAAAACCGTATCATGTTACATCTGTGCGCGGCTGTTTTAGAAACGTGCTTTATAAAGGGTCAGATCGTCGGTGTCATGCAAGATACTTCTGAGCATGTTTGAATTAGTGCTACAAAGATGCCATGGACACAGTAATCGTGTTACATTGAAAACATTCTAAATTGGAAAGATTTGTAGAGCTTCTCCTAAAGAACTATAGTTTTCATGTATGGCAGACCAAGTGACATTTTTACAGCATCATTAAAGCTGCAGTTATAAACTCTGTGAAGTCTCATATCCCTCCAGTATTTGTCCAAACCAGTAACTTGGTTTTTAAAACTCAATTAAAGCCTTTTTCCTTCGGGGGGTTATAACTCCTGCAAAAAGCTTAAAAATATGTGGCTAGGTGTGGTGGCATTTGCCTTAATCCCACCACTCAGAGGCAGGGGGAGCACTGTGAGTTTGGGGCCAGCCTGGTCTACTTAGACAGCTCCTGGCCAGCTGGGGCTACACAGTGAGACTCTTTCAAAAAGATGGTGGATGGATGGACAGATGGATACATGGATGGATACGTGGATAGATGGATGAGTGGGTGAGTTGGTGGATGGATGGATGGATGGATGGATGGATGGATGGATGGATGGATTAATGGATAGATGACTGAGTGCGTGAGGTGGGTGGGTGGGTGGGTGGGTGGATGGATGCGTGGGTGGGTAGGTGGATGGATGGATGGATGAATATTAAGTCAATACAAATAGGCCACATCCAAGAGAATACTGACACTTATCCTTTGCTGTGACCCTGTTACATTTCTTCCAGAGCATCTATATCTTAGAATGCACCAGATTTACCCTCCAGGACCACACTACACGGAACAGAACATGGGAGGCTCAAATATGTTCCCAGACACTGCCCTCTCTGTTGACAGTTATTGTTACAGAAGATTTGGGATTTTAGTATCTATCTGTAAAATTTATTCATGATTGTTCAAAGGCAGTGTTGTTTGGGTGCCAGCATTTGCATTCCTCTTCAGAATAATAATTTTAATACTGTGGTTTCTTTCAAGAACCGCTTACTGGTACCTTGTTACTGAATACAAGACAAAAGGTGACACTTAGTATAGGGAAGGCCAAGTTCCTCAACAATTGGAAGTTGAGAGGGTTGAGATGTGGGGGGCTGGAGTCCTGGCAGCCCCCCCCCTCCGCTTTTGACCCACTTTGTGGACTGCAGCACCTCCTCTTCTCTCATCGTCACCACCTGAGAGAATTTACAGTTGTCTCATTCTGCAGACGCCAAGCTTGACCTCTTTTGTTTTCCTTTGGAGGACAGGCCCTATATTCAGACTCAGCGTGCCACTTATGAAACCGCTTCAGGTGTGCGCTCCATGGTATAAAATCAGATCGCTTTAAAACAAACTTAAGTTTTGATCCATTTATTTATATGTGCTCAGGAAGAATTATAAGTAACAATAATGAGAAGGTTTTGTAGTTGATTGGTAATTGTCTCTATGAAGTTTCTCGCCTTCTTAATGTAATCTCTTTCATTTTATTCTACTATTTCTAAGACACATAAATTACTTTTACCTTAACCTCATATGATGCTACTATATTATATATATATATATATATATAAAAATTAAAAATTAAATTAACAGACCACAGCATTTCCCTGGTAATAAAAGTTTTATCTTTTATTTCAAGTCATGACTTGGGAAATGCATTCTTCAAAGTAAACGTTTGAGCCAGGGGATCCTTCATTATGAGCTGGGGAGTGAAATCAGAATGCTATAGTTTGGGCAGCATCTTGCCCTGCTTTGTCTTTTGTGATTAATGTAGATCATGCAGTAGACTGAAGCTTCATGCTGGCGGTGGCCATAATTACCATATTCATCACCCTGTCCCCAGTGCTTGACTGCCTGGCCTGTGTTAATCACTCAGTAAATATTTGATGAAGAAATAAATTATTCAATTAAGTAAATTATGCAGAAACTAGCGCCTACTAAGTGCTTTCCTAATGAAAACCTGCCCCCTAGTTCTAATTTCACGAGTGCTCTCCAAGCACTGATGACCTGGGCAGCAGTGGTGGCACCACTAAGGATCAGTAGAGGAGTGTGTTAGCAAAGGAGCGGGTAACTCTTATGTCATTCTTTCTTTAGAAATATAGGCTCGTTCGTTTTTTTTAAACGCTCTTCCATGTTACTTATATATAAACATAAGGAG